GGGGCAGGCCTGAGAGCCTGGGCAGAGCCAGCACCACTCTACCCCCTGGTGGCCTCAGCAAGCACACTCCCCCAGACAGAGGTGAATGACCTGGACCTTAATTTCCCTGCAGGTGAAGGGCACTCACCACCTACTCCAGGGCCTTCACCAGGGCCTCATTGGCCTTGATACGGATTTGTATCTCTGCCTGAGTGGTCTGCTGTTCCGACAGCTATGACTGGGCCTTCTCCAGGTTGGCTCTGGCGGCCCACAGGTCCAGCATGTCCAGTGTCACAGTGTCTTCGGCCAATAACTGCACTGAGGAATCAGCATTACCTGTGATAAAACCGTTGCTCACAAAGTTTTTAGTAGTGCTGCCATCTTCTGTGTAGACAACCACCTGCCCCGGCTGCAGGACCTGCAGGGTGGGCACATGGGCTTCCAGTATGCCAAAGGCTCCAGTCAGTGTGGGCACTTCCACTGGCCGGACATTGGCACCATGGAAGGACACCTGCATCAGGGAGGCTAGGTGAAGGATATCTGGCCTGGACTGGCAGTGGGGGCCGGTGGCTGCAGCACCAGTCTCCTCTTTCTTCTTGAATTGGTCTTTGGTAGTGTGTTTCTAGAACCGTGTCTGTTTCACCTAGGTTATCTAATTTCCTAAGGGCAACAAGAGCACATGGCCAGACACAGTCTTGTCCATGAATGACCATAGCAGCTTGATGTTTAAGGGGCAAAGCTGGAGAGAATGCAAGGTGAAGGTGCAGATGAGTGGAGAAACACAATTGCAGGCAGTGGCTGAAGGATTGACTGCTGTATCCCCACTTCCAGAGACCATGGCCTCAGGACTCCCTGCACTAAGAGCAGCGGGTCTTCTCTATCCCAAATTCCCAAGGCCACAACCTCAAGGACCCCACAGTGAGATTATCTTCCCCAAATACTGATGCTGCTTCAGCTCCTGCTTTAGACACCTTGGGCCACTTTCCAGGAGGCACCGATGGTGACACCAGACAGGCCAGAGCAGGACCATCCTGGCCAGACTCTATGCAGCCCCACCCCTTCCTCCTCAATGTGGGAAACATAAGTCCTTGAGGAGTCTAGTTCCCTGTCATGTTCTTTGTTTCCTTCTCTCTCTCTCTCTCTCTCTCTCTCTCTCTCTCTCTCACTTGTGTGTGATAAATAGAAAGTCTGGTGATCTATTTTCAGAATATACTATTCAGCTTTAATTGGATCCAATCGTAATCATTTTAATTGTAGCCCTTTCCCCTTACCTGCCCTAATAACATAGATTATACCCTGAAGATATCCAATCAAGAAAAAGGGCAGCACTGCCTTAGGTATACAAACAGGCAGGCTGCCCGCCCAGGTGCCCTTGCTGGCCAGGTTCTGTAATGCCAGATTCATGGGACCCCAATAGACCTCCAGGAGCCGAATCCGATGCAATCACACAAGAGTCTTTACTGCAAGCTAGAGCTTGCACTCAACTGTTTCCGACGCAGTGATCCCAAGGAGTGGGTCCCATTTCTTTGTTCAGATTTTATAGGTTTTGGGGGATACTCTATGTGTCACAACATCACACAGCAAATCATTTCACACCGCAGGAAGATCAAACAACTCTTAACATTGATTAGCACATTCACTGGTGGGAACAAATTGGGTAAGGGTGATTGGTTAGTATAAGAGGGGGATTTGTTTGGACTGATTGGATTAATCCATGAGGGGTGTACATGCTAAACTACATGGTTTCCCAACATGTTATCAACCACCATAAACTACTGGGGGGTCATCTGGCATCCCAAGTATTTTCCCTGTCTCATGCTGATTGGTGGTTGCTAGGGGGTTGCTATGGGTCCTCACCTAGCCTAACTGAGTCAGGGACACCTGGTGCCACAGATCTCTCCTGTTATTTACAGACAAGCAACTCATCAAGTTGGCTATCTGCCTAGAAAGGTTCTGTGGATTTTTCCAAGGACAAGGGTCATGTCCCCTTCCTTTGGACAGGCCTTGCTCTGAGGTAGAGGCTGGTTTCTCAAAAAATGGAGTCACGTCAGTTTCTCAGTTCCAGTAGCACAGTCCTTCTGGCAGAGGTAAAAGTTTGCCTTGCCCACCCACTTTTGAGCATGTGTTTCATTTCTTGCAGCACCTTGTTATATCTAACAATTTTAGCACCCAATGTGGCACTCCATTTATTGTCTAGGGGTCTCGGTAATCCCCCTCCTCAGAGGCAATATGTCGCTCTGCCTTCTTATGGTAACCACTGAGTTGGTGAGGAAACTGCCATCCCTGAGGCCAACAAAGGGCCCAAATTCCAAAGTGGATCAAAAGTAGATAGACAACACAGGAAAAGGGCCCAGGCAAGTACCATGGTGACCAACTAATTCTATTCATATACATAGACCAAAAAGAAAAATGTATCTCAAGCTTGAAGGTGGTCAGGCAAGAAATCCCTAGTAAGTATGACCGAGCAGTTAGGGGCCCTGGATATGCAAGAAATACCCAATAAGAGGATTGAACATATGGACAGTAGGTGGTTAAATGCACAAGAGGAAACTCAATTACAGGAGCCTACCAAAAATAGGGAATAAAAAATTTTAGGGCTAGGGACAGGGAAGAAAAATAGAAAGAGCCCCATATGTACAAATCCTCTTTCCTTTAAAGAGTCCTGAGCAGGGAAATAAACAATAGTAATGGTGGGAATAAATCTTCCACATGAAGGATGCGTGGCCACCTGAACTTTTGACTTCTGCATCCACCATGGCTCAAACTGTATTCCTAATGTTCCCAATTGCAAAGGCCCCCAAAGGACCAAGCCAGATGCAAACTTCATGGATCAGCAAAGCCTTCATTCAGCAATGGAGTCATGCCTCTGATGGACTCACTTTCCTAGTGGAAAATGAGCCACTGGCCAAAGGAGGAGTCTGCGCTTATATAGGTTTATGACACTGAGAGGTGACTCAATTATTGACACAGCATGTCAGTTTGGGCACTCAGAAAACAGGTTTGTGAGAATTTGAAATTTGTTTTTACTGGGCAATAGTTTTACTTGGAGAAGAATGGAGGGGGTGGGGTCAGCATTCAGTGCTTATCTCTTTCCCTTTAGGGTCCCATTATACTGTCCCTGAAAAGGATTTATTCAGGAAAAAAAAATCAATGCTTTGGCTTCCTTTCTAGGGATTCTTCTGCCACTGGAAAAGAATGCACTGGGAAAGGTCAATGCCATCAGTGTGCTGCCCCCTCCTCTTCACTCCCTCTTCCCAGGCCATATTATTTTGGGGTTTGCCATTTTCCACATCTAATAGATCATACTATTGTAATGCCAGATTCGTGGGACCCCCAATAGATCTCCAGGAGCCGAATCCAATGCAATCACATAAGAGTCTTTGTTGCAAGCTCCAGCCTGGACTCACAACTGTTTCCAATGCAGCGGTCCCAGAGAGTGAGTCCCAGTCCTTTGTTCAGTGAGCTTTTATAGGTTTTTGGGGATACTACATGTGTCACAACATCACACAGCAAATCATTTCACACCACAGGAAAATCAAACAACTATTAACTTTGATTAGCACATTCACTGGAGGGAACAAGTTGGGTAGGGGTGATAGGTTAGTACAAGAGGGGGATTCGTTTGAACTGATTGGTTTAAGCCATGAGGGGTGTACATGCTAAACTACATGGTTTCCCAACATGTTATCAACCACCATAAACTACTGAGGGGTCATCTATCTGGCATCCCATGTATTTTCCCTGTCTCATGCTGATTGGCAGTTGCTAGGGGTGTTGCTATGGGTCCTCACCTAGCCTAACTAAGTCGTGGACAACTGGAGCAGCAGATCTCTCCTGTTATTTACAGACAAACAACTCAGCAGGGTGGCTATCTGCCTAGGAAGGATCTGTGGGTTTTTTCCAAGGATAAGGGTCACGCCCCCTTCCTTAGGACAGGCCTTGAGATAGAAGCTGCTGTTATTTTTTTTTCCAAAAATGGAGTCACATCAGTTTCTCATTATAAAAATCTGTGATAAGCTCTATTTTTCCTGTGAAAAAGCTACAATTTTGTTGTTTTTTCTTTTTTGTTGTTTTTATTGTTATTTGTTTGTTTGCTTGCTTGTTTTTTTTCTTTATGTGTGCACACCTGTGTATGGTATTATAATATCTACTTATGTGTTTGTGATAGACACAGTATCAAAATTAGCTTATAGATAAATAAGAACTCATAAGTTTAATAAATAGATCCAAATGCCTTTCAGTTTGTGTGACTTAAATAAAACTCTAAGAAAAAGGATCCATCTAAACTGGTAAAAAAAAGATGCCTTTGAAATTATTAAGCCACATATTTTAGATGGCCAGCCAAGCAGAATATTGATGAATAAGAATAGCTATGGTCAGCAATCAAAAATCAGGGGACCCAGTTGAGGTCTTATTCAAATGCAGAGGCCACACCTGGAGGATAACTAGTAGAAATACCTTCAAGGTCTATTTCAAAGGTAAATGGCCATGAGATGGGGTTCAACTGTGGGAATAATCCAGGCAGCTCCTTAGTCCCAGAAGCAGGAAAATTCAAAGTGGGGGTGACCCATAAGAGAATTACAGGGATTAACCTTCAGGTAAAGGCCACAACCAATAGCCTTGATACTTTTTCAATGTTTTTTAAGCTCCTAAACCAGCATAGGGCTTTCCTGCTATCTGGCCCCCTCCCACATGGTGGGATTCTGCTCTTCCCTTCCCTTATTATCCATAGATTTTATTTTTCAAATCTGGGAAACAAGAATCCATGAGGAGATGGGCAAAGGAAGGAAGGAATCTAGGCTCATCTCAAAACTCTGACTTCATCTTAGAGGTCACAGGGAGATCTTCAGAAGGATGAGTAAAATGGACTAAAGCTTTATTACTTTGCTTTTCATCCAGAATCCCTATACTCCATTTATACATTCTGTCTCTATCAAAACTTCTAGGACTGGCTGGGTGTCATGAGGGGGCAAAATTGTGACATATGCAGTCGAGGGGAGAAATAAAGAATGTCCACGCACTTCTGCCCATTTCAATGCTTTATTCATTCAAATGACTCAATACAATTTCACTCTATAGGTTCTTAATCAAGAAAACAACAATCCTTAATGCTAGGCACTGCAATAAACATAATCAATTCACAGCAAACAATTCTAGATTAGTTAATTCAGAGCAAACAATTCTAGATTAATTCTAAGCACTGCAAAACACACTGAGTTATGATAGGCTAATGACAGACATTTCCTCTGCATGCTAAGTTCAAAGGTCTTAAGTCTTAGGCTTTGAGTCCAGCAGATGCACACTCACTCAGACCACAGTGATCAGGTCCGGAACCAAGGCAGGCTTTTCCTGGCGTGGAATGGAAGACCAGTTGCATAGGGAGAAGTTGCAGCTCTCATCAAGGTCCAGAGGAGGCGGTGGAGTTTGAGAGGGGTGAGGATCACGCAGAGGCTCTGGAATAATGACAAGTGATGGGATGTCAGGTCCTTGTTTCAGTTGGCTTAATCCCTATTCATTTGCTCTATCATTTATACTAAATATGGGGGATTTTGACCCCCCTTTCAATCCTTATCAGCTACTACCAGATTTCTCAGTGACATCATTTACCCTGGTCTGGTGGTCTCCACCCTGATCTTCTCACCTTTCCCTCTTATCAGGCTAGGACAGCCTACCAGGGGCTTCACTCTGTTTATCAGGGTGAGGGGAAGTAACTTGTTTGTGGCCATACTGGAGGGCTCTGTGGGTGTGCCTGCTGAGACTGCAGGTTTCAAACTGGAGTTTTTTAAAATGGAGTTGCTTAAGCTCAGGCCTAAGGCCATCCTAACACTGGGGCTGTGGCTCAGTGGTAGAGCAGTTGCCTAGCCCATGTGAGGCACTGGGTTCCATCCTCAGCACCACATAAATATAAATAAATAAATAAAGTTATCATGTTCATATACAACTAAAAATATTTCTAAAAACCTGAAAAAAAATTCTGGGGCATGTCAACCAGTTAAAAGTGGATGGAACAGCTGCTGGATGGAGGAAAAAGGCTTTGTTGGAGTGAAATTTATTAATCCCTCTCTGACTTTGCAGGAGAGAATGTTGGTGTAAGATATGGAAAATGACAAACCCCAAAATAGTGTCGCCTGGGAAGAGGGAATGAGCAAGAAGACAACACATTGATAACTTCGATCCTCTCCCAATACATTCTTTCCCAGTGACAAGACAAGCCCTGGGGACGAGATATCAGTGGGATACCACAAGTAAACTTTGAGCATGTCTAAACCATTTTGAAGCAGAGGTGTGCCCCTAAGAGAACTCTCAGGGTAATCTCATCAATCTGAGGCTGCTTCATTGCCTTGGAAAATGTCCTGCTGAAAGAGAATGCTGTGATACCATGGAATTTATTGGCTTGGACAGCCCCATGTTCAAATGCAACTCCCCAGAGATAGAGAGAGACACAGTGCACCAACTACCCCTGTGGCACCAGCTACCTGAAGGAGGAAGAATGACAGCCCAAATGGTAAGTCCCCAATCAGGCCAATTTCCTCATAGCTTCTCCCTTCTTGTTTACCTCCCCACAACAAATTTCTTTGGTGTGTTTCACTATAAATAAAGCATTTCCAGGCTTGTCCCCTTTTGAAAGGATAAAAGAAACTGAAGTTAAAGACCAGGCATTGTAAAGTTTCTAAGCTTCAAAGCCTGAGTTAAAATGTAAAGGATCAGGTATTGTTAAGTTCCTATGCTACACTCAAAACCTGAAATTCCTGTAGCTGTTAGGACAATTCACGGGACTGCCCAGTAGATATTCCCCCTGACCATTTAGTTGTTAAATAACCTAGGACCCTGTGCAGCTTGGCACGTAGGCATCTCAGGGCCTAAACCAATCAGTTTGAATGTGTACCCCGCTTTAGAACTGACCTATCACCCCCGCCTGACCTGTTCCTGCCAATGAATGTACTAATCATGTTTGAGAATTGTTGTTTGATTTTCCTGCGCCTCATGATGATTTGCTCTGATGTATGAAAAGCCCCCGCCCTCCCCAAAAAGTGTACTTAAGCACTGCTTAACCCCTGCTCGGGGCTCTTGGCCGCTCTTCCTTCTTGAGTGAGCACGGAGCCCCAGCATGCTGGATCCTCAATAAACCCCCTTTTGTGGTTGCATGAGTCGGTCTCTTGGTGGTCTCTTCCTCCAACGTTCGCCGGACCCTTACACTTTGTTAGGATTAGACCCATCAGGTCTCTCCCACCTATCATGCCCGGCTTTGTAAATATTTTCCTGAGTACTTTGCTTCATTTCTTGATATTACTTTTTCAGACTTTTTACTTCCAGAGGGCTCACACTCAGAGAGTTACTTATTTCCTCCCCACGCAGGTCATGGGTGACAACTGGCACCTAGAACAGGACCCTGGAGAGGAATTCAGAAGAAAGAATGTCAGGTGAATGCTCAGCCTCTCCTTCACAGAAAAATGTGCATTCGTCAAGTTAAAGAGAGAGAGAGGAGGGAGGAATCTTTAAGATAGCTTGACGTTAAGAATGGGGAATTTAAACTCTAAATAGAGTTATGTTATACTTAGAATGAAGAAGGTATAGTTGATGCAGTTTCTAGAACTTGTTATTAAAAGGTTTCTTTGTTTCCTTAAAGAGGGATGGGACTTATCAGAGAGTTGGGTGCTGTACTATAGTAATTCAGATAATATGCCCAGGTGCATTACTGAAAATGCAGAAAGGATGTGGACTTTGATACAAACTTGTTTGGATTCAGATTGAGACAGTGTGATATGGTCAGCAGAGGATCAATTGGTGGCTTTAAGAACAGTGTCAGAGGTTACCAGCCTGCCTGCCTGCCACAGCTTCTTTGCCTGCAGAGAGTGCAGTGCAGGAAAGGGAGAGGTTTGGTAAACAGCTGTGTGTCAGTTCTCTAGCAGAGAAACCAGACAAAATACCTGTGGGAGTGTTTATCTTGTGGCCATTTATCTGGTGTGGTGTTAGATGTCAAGAGCCCCATGTTACCTGAGATTAGTGTCTGTCTCTCACCCTACTCCATGATAGGAGTTCATGTTGTGCCGCAGTCTGGCTGGGCACAAATCAGGAGCCACTCAAGCAGGAACAAACTTTATTTCCGAACTCCCCCCCCCATGCCACCCACGCAGCCCTCTCAGGAACACCACACACCAACCAATCGGAACTCCCTCAAGCAGAACTTCACCAACCAACACGAACTCCCCAGGAATCCCCGAGAACTCCAAAACAGCGGGCACCCGAAGCCACTCCCTTCTGGCAAAATGCCATTCGTCATCACCACTCGGCTGTGGCCCTCAACAATGTTGTGTTCAAATGATAGATTTTTGTTGTAAAGATTTCTGTGATCTCAAAATAGGGATATAAGCAAAACAAAGGTTTGGGTAAATCATTTGAAAATATTTAGGGTAGTAATAAATTTGTAAGTAAAGTGAAATTTTTAAAGGATTTCATGTGATTGAGTTATTTATGAGTCTTTGTGGAAGCAAACTAGATACCAAAGATACATTAGTATTATTGTAGAAATTATGTTTCTTGGTTCACAGCTGTTATACAAACTAAAAGTTTTCAGTCTTGTTATTTTCATTATGTATTCTCATAGAACTTTATAACTTTTGCCTATTAGTGTTTTAAAGAAGTATTCTTTCTTTAAGACAGAACAACCTAAGTGAATTTAAAAAAAAAGCCATCATCTATAGGACAGAAAAAAATATAAGCCTGTGTGGGAATTCTGTGTTTGGGATTGGGGTCTACAAACTTCATGATTGTGACATTATTAGTGACTAGGAAGTTTCTATGCAAAGACACAGGATGCCTGGCTGCTAGGTAATACCTGGTGACTGGGAAACTCCTGTGCAAAGGCACAGGATGGGTGGCTGCCATAGCATGTCCTTCACAGGTTTCCCCTGATTCCCACGATGGAAATGCCCAGCCTTCTCCCTCTGAGGTAATAAGACAACTACGCAGGCACTGGATGGTTTCCTTAGCAATGTCCTTGGAGAGAAGGGGCTCTGTGTTTCTCTTAACCTGGACCTTATCTCAGTTAGCTAAGGTTAAAGAAATACTAATTACTTAGTATTTAGAATTCAGGCTAAAGAAATACTAATTAGAATATCATCATGGTAACAGGAGGTAGGTGTTCTTGGAGTGAATAAACTCCTGGCAGGGAGGGGCAGACCCCCCACTTCTGCACTTCTTCACCACTTCACCTCACTCCTCTCTGCTCCTCCTGTCTGCTGGCACTATTTGTGTCTGTGTCTGTTCTTTGTGTGCCTCCTCACAGGTATTCCCACACAGGTGACTTCCAATACTAACACTGGCCCCAATGAAATGGAAGGGGTAAATAACTTTAAAGTTATATACATTAAATATAAAACCCAGTACTCCTACTTTAAGACTGGTGAAACTAGCACACTGGATGAAATGTCCCTGATGCTTCCAAGGGAAGCTGCATATGGTCAGCAAGACTCTGACCCACCCTGGCAGATGACACTAGAGAAGCTAAGGGGCTTCTCATAAGTCCCCAAAAGTGACCTATCTATATATTTTTTTGGTGGTATGATTATTATAAACCATTGCACAGGTTCTCATTCTAGAATTTGCATTCATCACTTCCAGCCTGATGACTTGATTTTAATCAAGACCCAGAGAGAAAATAATCTTCAATCAAGCTGAAAGTGGCCGACCAAGTGCTCCTGACCACAGGATGGCTATGCAAACTGTTAAGAGAGGGAAAACTCACTGCCAGGGGGCATTTCCACTCTAAACGGGTATGTCTAGGAAAGATGGCAAGACCAACGGGTACAATGACAATGAGACCAAAAGGTATACAAAGAAAAAATGGAGGGTGATTGGAAATAGGAAGTCTGGCGGTCCATTCTCTTAAGGCGTTTGGCCTTGACTGGATCCAGTTAGCCCTTTTAATTGTTGCCCTTCCACTTTACCCGCCCCAGGGATCTGCTGAATCTGGACCATCACACGGGGCAACAGAGTGGCTCTGGGGTATCTCAGTGGTCTAGCGTTGCTGGCATGGTGGAGGCCCTGAGCTCTAACCCAGTACAGCCCCAAACACAAACCAAATAAAGCCCCAAAAGACAGGAAGGGGAGAACATGGTCCAGGGCCTCAGTTTCCTTCTCTACAAAGTCTGGAGCTTGGAGTAGGTCATCACAAGGTCCCACAGGCTCCCCAATCTGAGCTTCCCTTGGTGTGACACTGTGCTCTGGCCCTTGGTGGAAGCTTTCTGCCCCCTGGAGGGCCAACAGAGGGCAGAGAAGACAGGAAGACAGATGTGGGCCACAGCAGAACGGTGCCCTAAGGGACCACTCATCCTTGGAGGAGGAGAAAGACCACCTTATTGGAGTCTCGGGGACCCATGTGGAACTGGAACCCAAGTCCTTGTCCTGGCAGTGATGAAAAGGCTTTGTGAGGACAATGACTCCCAGGTGAGTGTGGCCAGTAGAGGAATGGAAAAGTCCCTTTAATGTCCCTGGGTCCTTCAGGCCCCATTTTTGTCCCCAGGCATTTGTTAAACTGAGGCCTAGATGTCACTGCAGCAAAGCCTGTTTCCTGTGGCAGTTTTTCTTCCACGGTGTACAGTGACCACTAGCCACCCAGGGGAGACTGAGCCCACTGTGCTCTCCTGGAGCACCCACAGTCAGGAAGAGCCACCAGAGGGCTCTGTGGCCATTTCCCTGCCACCACACAGAACGGCACCTCCTAGGAGGAGCATCCATCTCCACTATCTGAGCTGCTCACTGACTGGCACCTGCTCCAACAGGTTTCCAGATCCTCTCATCTATCCAATCACTATTCGCCAAGTGCTGACCTTGTTCCATGTGCTGAGTTAGGCCTGCGAACTGCAAAGAAAAAGAACAATGTGGTCTCTGCCTTCCAGGAGCTCTAATCTGGAGAAGAAGAGGGACAAATCACTAGAGAATTATAACTGGAAGAAAAGACCAAGAGTTATATCAAAGGAAAGCACAGGGCTCTTAGGGAGGGCTGCAGTCACCACATGGAGCCATCTGAAAAGGCCTTACTGTGGTGACATTGATGCCTAGAGCTGATAAATGGGGTCCTGGGTGGGGAGGGTAGAGGGAAGACACATGAGAGGAGGACACATAAGAGGAGGGGAGGGATGGGCAAGGGAAGGGTTAGAACCTTGGGTTTTGCCAAACATACCTGTGACATGCTAGTATTTGAAAAATTATCCCACACAAAGCATATAAAACCACAAACATTTGTAGGCTTAGTTTATCTAGATCAGAAATGCAAGAGGCCTCAGCTGGAGGCTTCCACCATCTCTTATGAGGCTGGGGCCACAGACTCAGCTGATGCTTAGTTATGGCAAGGTCTGTTCTCAATCTCTGCCGCATGGCTACAGGTGGGACTCAGGTAGGACAGAGGCCTCATTTCTGCCCTCTCCATTGTCCTCTCTGTCATAAGACTTGTGAGCCTCTCCATAGGGAGTGACATAGAGAGCAACAGCTTCCCCAGAACCACAGATCCTAGGGAGGCAAGAAAAAGGAAACAAAGAAAGAGGAAAAGGAAGGATGAGGAAGAGAAGAAAAAAGGAAGAAAGAAGTGAAGAAGAAGAGGAGGAGGAGGAGGAGGAGGAGGAAAGAAGGAAGAAGGGAAGGAAGGAAGTAAGGAAGAGGAGAGAATGAGATGTTATTCACAGTCATTTCAGAAATAAATCTTGGAGGTGACACCACATGAACTTTTGTCATGTTCTATAGGTCACCTGAGAGACACTAAATCCAGCTCACACTGAAGAGAAGGGTGTGGGAGGCCGACATAGTATGTGACCATCATTTGTCTCCCCTTATGATTGGTGTGGCATTGCCGGTCACTTTGTGATCTGGTTGCCTAGGTAACCATAGACGGTATCCCTGATCTTTAGGGTCGAGCAAATGTGTCTTCATGCATGGATGTGCCTTCCTACATCCCCATGGGTTGAGCTATGCTCACCTGTTCTTTTGTGATGTTTACCCTTTGCCCTGTTTGGGATAGGTGTTCCATGGAAATGCCTTTTGTGTGTCCCCTTCTTTTACTGTGCCCTTGGGTGTAGACTTCCTAGATGTCAGTCATCATAAAGCTAGACTCAGCCCCTTGAAACTGACCTCTTGCCTCATTTGAATGACTTCTCCTCAATAAGAGGGGTCAGCAAGTGCGGTCTCTCTCTCTCTCTCTCTCTCTCTCTCTCTCTCTCTCTCTTACACGTTCTGTGAACCCTTAAGGTCAGAGGAGCCGTCACAGCACCCCCGAAGAAAAAGGAATTTCTGTCTCTTGCATGGTTATTTTGTGCAGCCAAGTTCCCCTGGAGTGACCCCGAGTGTTTTAGTCATGTGCAACACGGCAGAAGGGGACTACTCAAACTAGGAGGTTTGAACACAGAACCTTAATGAGCCTCCTTTACAAAAGCATAGCCATACCATTTTCAAAAATAAAAAGAATGATGAATTAGCATAAGGGAACTGATTTCCACCCTGAGCATCTCCATCAACAATTTTGACTTTATAACCAACCTTACCCACTTCCCCAAGCATCTTGCTAAGTCAACAAAAGAGAAGTTTTTGAAAAAGGGCAAAGGCAGTTCACAGAAGACAAAATAAACATTTTTAAATCTATCAAGAAAACAATGTCTTTTAAAAGGGAAAACCAAGGTACAATGAAATTATTTCTTCCTATCTATCTATCTATCTATGAAGTACCAGGAAGCCAACCCAGGGCTTTGCACATGAGAGGCAAGAGCTCTATGTCACTGAACCTCACCTCACTCTCACAATGAGTTGTGTTTACACTAAGAGGTTGGCATGATCAAAGAGTTCACACTAAATGAAGGTGAATAGAGGAAATCAAAATAATGATAAGAGCATAGTTTTGTTTTACCCAGTTTAGGAAAGTTTTCTAGTGTATTTCTCAGCATGGTTTTTGTTGCAGAGCTCTGTTGAAATGACATCCTTATATGTGATGCATATTTATCACTGAATGGAGGAGGAGGAGGAGGAGGATTGTCTCTACGGTGCATCTGTAAACTCCTTTCACATTGTTTCCTCTGTTACATCTTTTCTCTGTATTCTGGGGGCCTCTTCTCAGATATGTCCAATGTCTTTGGGAGTATTTTTGCAACTTCAGTTCTGTTCTTTTTTATTACAATTTGGTCATTCTAATTTTAGTTTCCTTACGATGTTTCTGTGTTTTATTCTTCTAGCTTTTAAACTAGTTGTGCCATAGAATTTTTTAAAATAGACTTTATTTCCTAGAACATTTTTGGGTTCACAGTAAAACTGAGCTGTTGTGTTCCATGACTAAACACTCAGGGTCACTCCAGGTGAACTGGGCTGCACAAAATAATCACACAGAGACAGAGAAATGCCTTTTTCTTTAGGTCCTGTGGTGGCTTCTCTGACCTTAGGGGTCCATGGAAAGAGAGAGGGGATCACATGCTGAACCCTCTTATTGGGAAGAATCCATTCAAATGAGATAAAGGGTCAGGTTTCAGGGGATTGAGTCTAATTGTGATGTCTGCTGTTGGCAGGTTGCCTGACATCTAGGAAGGCCACACGCAAAGGCAGAGCAAGAGAAGGGGACACACAAAGGGAGTTTCTGTGGAACATTCTATCCCAAACAGGGCAAAGGGGTAGGGTTACAAAAAGAATAGGTGAGTGTAGCTCAACCCCAGGGGTATGCCAGAAGACTGGCCTTGCTATCTGAGTGAGGGAAAAGACCGAGTCACGAGTCATGGAACTTCCTTGCCAGACTACAGTGATCTTTCAGATCCCTTCCAGTCCTGGTGCATCAGGACTGGAAGCCGTGGTAACTCAATGTGGCTCCTCACACTGAGCAGAAGGCAAAGAGATATCCCATAAACCATCTACCCCACACATATACAATCTTGCCCATTATCAACACCTCTCACCAAATTTGATGTATTTGTTACAATTGGTGAATTGGAAAAAAAAAAACATTATCTCTAGTGTAAACTAGTTTACACAGGACTCAATCTTAGTATTATATTGGTTTGGACAAATGTGTAATAAACATATATCCACCATTAGAGTATCCCTCAGAATAGCTTCACTAACTAAATTCCAATAAGGTTCTCCAAACTGTCAGACCATGGGTCTCAAGGAAGTTAATTCATTCATCAGTATTTAGCAACTGCTCTTTGAGATAGAATTGGAACTAAGGCATAGACTCTGCTCTGAGGTCACTGTCTGGGAGGGACACCAAGGATCGTAACACAATGCAGAGTGATAAACTCTTGTGTACAGGTGATTAAAATCATAACCTTCTCTCTCTCACCAATCTCATTATTCTGACCTGATGTTCTTTCATAACATAAAGGATTTTAGCAAAACTTTCCCAGGGAAGAGAAAGCTCAGAGTTTTGGGGATAGTGGACAGTGTGTGCCAGACCTCACCATACTAACCATGAGATCTACCATTTGACAAAGGTCCAATGAGAACTCTTGCAGATGGCCTGTCATAGGACCTCGTCATTTCTGTTACATTCCGTCTCTGAGGAGTAGATCACATTCCAGTGAAGATTCCCATCATGAAAAGAACAACACGACAGAAGAAATGTGTGATACATAATATCTAACTGTGATGAGATGTTTTACATGGATGTTGGACATGATGGATGGAGAAAGAAGGGAGATGCAAACAGAGATGTGGGGTAGACCCATCATTTTTCATGTCTTCGGGTGACACAGGCACATCTTCCAGCTAGTGGATGACCATGTGTTTGTTTCTTGTAGAAGATATTCATCAGCTTCCAAATCATAATAAAGAATAAAAGCAAATAAGTATTTTTAGACAAATGATCTACATTATTAAACGTGTTCTCTAGATGACAAAACTTGCAAACCTTCTGCAATAGGCAGTGTCATGGAGGCAGGAAGTCAGGCACTGCCCCCCTGCTGGCCACATGAGAAAATGACATGAAGAGTGTAGAGCTCCTTGATTGTCAGCAAAAGTACACAAGCACATAGAGGCCTTTATTTCTGTGGTTTAAAAATACATAAGTGACTACCTTATATTTGATAAAGGGGCTAAAAGCATGCAATGGAGGAAGGATAGCATCTTCAACAAATGGTGCTGGGAAAACTGGAAATCCATATGCAACAAAATGAAACTGAATCCCTTTCTCTCGCCATGCACAAAAGTGAATTCAAAATGGATCAAGGAGCTTGATATCAAATCAGAGACACGCCGTCTGATAGAAGAAAAAGTTGGCTACGATCTACATACTGTGGGGTCGGGCTCCAAATTCCTCAATAGGACACCCATAGCACAAAAGTTAATAACTAGAATCAACAAATGGGACTTACTCAAACTAAAAAGTTTTTTCTCAGCAAAAGACACAATAAGAGGGGTAAATAGAGAGCCTACATCCTGGGAACAAATCTTTACTCCTCACACTTCAGATAGAGCCCTAATATCCAGAGTATACAAAGAACTCAAAAAATTAGACAATAAGATAACAAACAACCCAATCAACAAATCGGCCAAGGACCTGAACAGACACTTCTCAGAGGAGGACATACAATCAATCAACAAGTACATGAAAAAATGCTCACCATCTCTAGCAGTCAGAGAAATGCAAATCAAAACCACCCTAAGATACCATCTCACTCCAGTTAGATTGGCAGCCATTAGGAAGTCAAACAACAACAAGTGCTGGCGAGGATGTGGGGAAAAGGGTACACTTGTACATTGCTGGTGGGACTGCAAATTGGTGCAGCCAATTTGGAAAGCAGTATGGAGATTTCTTGGAAAGCTGGGAATGGAGCCACCATTTGACCCAGCTATTCCCCTTCTCGGTCTATTCCCTAAAGACCTAAAAAGAGCATGCTACAGGGACACTGCTACATCGATGTTCATAGCAGCACAATTCACAATA